GTACCTACGTACAAAAGCGAATTATTATCATCAAAGACGAAAACAAAAGTTGCACCGAGTAGGACGTGTATCTCTCGAGAGCAGGATGAAAAGAAAACGCGACCCCTTGACGTTGTTTGAACGCGCGATACCGCGTTGTTGATAATAAAAAATAAATACAAAAAAAAAACACCAAACATCGTATACCTATTGTACCGACCGAAAAACCGTTTTATAAGCGAGTGCATATATTTATATTATAATAATAATAGGTATACGCAGGAATTGTTCGGCGGCTTTGTTTAATTAACCCGGTGTGGCCGGCATCGAGTTTTAAAGGGACGAACACAATATTTATTGTTGTTATTATTATTATCATAATTGACCATTTAAATTTAAAAAAAAAACGGAAAAAATACGATTATATAACAGTTGGGAAAAATTTTGCCAGTAGCATTTTGTCGGACATATAGGTATAGTGTGTATTTATTTTTTGTACCTACGATGATGACGCGTGTACAAGAGAGAAAGACAGATATGTATTATTATTATTATTATTATTATTATACACGAACATATGATAATCAAGAATTCCATTGTTCCGTCGGTCGTTAATTTTATACTGCATCAATTATGCTTGAATCGGATAGGACAGACTACGAAAAGGAAAGAAAAAAACACCAAAGTTTTAAGTATGCGTTTATAGTTTCAACGAGTTTTGCGTGAATCAAAAAATGCCGAGCCAGACCGTGAAAAAACAATACGACTTATACACACGCACACAAGCACGTATATATTATTATATAAATGATTTTAGTACTGCAATATTAATTAATGTTTTCTTTTTGTTCCATTTCAATTAATGCTTATTGTTTGTTTGTTTTTTCGTTGGTCCAAAAATAAAATAAATATATACCTATTAAAATTGTGGCCATACATAATATATATACCCTGTTCAAAATAAGAAGCGACCTGATTTACGCTTGAAAACCGGTTTTACTAGTGGCCGCCTGAATCGCTTCTTAAAATGAACAGACTATATATATATGATATTATATATTGACTGAAAAAAATTCGTTTTATTGTTCCAGAAGCATTCTATCACAAATACATATGTGTGTAGGTAAAAAAACATGAATTCATGTAGCGTTAAAAAACAATAACAACGCTATTATATACATCAAAGGGTTATGATCGTTTTTCTTTATTAGATATTATACACTCTGTGGATTTTAGGAAATTGTTGTCGAAACTCATATTTACTTGATGGGAATTTCATGTTTAAAGTAGTTTAACTGCGGTATATTACAGTAAATATTTAATCGCTTTTAAGCTTACCTATATATTGGTTTTTTGAACAACCGAAAAGTATATGTAACAATTGTTACAAGCATATATAATTATATAAATGTATAATACTCTAATTAATATTTATTTTTTTTTCGTTACTTTTACAACTTTAATGACAGTTTATTTGTAATAATGACTGGTAGTTGTTCTAAAGTGATAATTAGTCGACATTGTACTTACTCTTTCATAAATTTTGATTTAGGCTATCGGCGTCAGTCTTATTTTCAAACCAAACCTATACATTAGTCAAAACGTTACACAAATTTATTCAACCGCGAAAACCTAAGATATAAAGGAAGCACACGATGTATTTTGCCCGTAAGTATTAAACATTAATTATGTATTTATCTAAGTAGCACAACTAATATTTAGACATCACTATTATTATATTTAAAGTGATAAAATCATGTATTTTGGAAATCTTGTTTTGGAAACAATAATTCATATTGCGTTAATATCAGATCTGATTGCATCGCTTAAAGTTATTAAAGTACTAATAAATTATTAGTTATTATACTTATTAGATATTATAGTAACAATAAATAATAACTTATTTAGGTAGGTAATTTCTATAATTTCATGTTGTTATCTCTACTTATGTAATAAAGGTGCTTCATATTTTGAAAATTATTATTCTTAATTTTAAATTAGGTATACTATATTATATTATAGTATAATAGAATTTATATTGTTTTATTATATATATTTCGATTGGTTTCATCATACAATTTTCTTTTCGTAAGTTATTATTACCTGTTCATTTGTATTAATTTGATACATTTGTAGTCTTTTCCTTAATATATATAAATATAATAATTAATAATATGCTATTATAATATTTCTGGGATTGACGGACCTATATTTGTATAATATTGTATACCCTTCGTTCTAATACCTCGTTTTATTCACCGACACATAGTTGTACTAATGTGCCTCAGTCACCTAGATTATTAACTACTTGTAATGAGGAAAATATTTTGATTTTTCTTTGATTCTGATACCAAGTTGATGTTAACCAATTTTTGGTTGATATTATAATTTGTAACTGTTGTATTAATTTGTTTATTGTTATTATTAATTATAGGTATCGTAATAACAATGTTAATCTGAATGGTGTTTTTTTTTAATATACTATTTTTATTTTTGACCTTATTCTTGAAATAAATAATAAATAATTAAATTAAGAAAATCAAAGATGAAATGCGTAGAAAAAATTTAGTTACAAGTTAGTTTTTATATTAGAACTTCAGTATCGGTTTCAATTATTAATGAGTTAAATAAATTTATAAATTCAGTATAATAATTAATAAGTTATAAGTTATAACACATAGTGTCATGTTTAATGGTTTGTTAAGACTTGAAAGCCAAAGAGGGCGCATGGCTTTGATTTTTATGTGGTGGTTGAATTGTTGGGAGAGGGTAGATGGACAAGTGGAAAAATGTCTGTATATATTAGTAAATAATTAGGGAAATAACAATTATTACCAATTGATTAAGTTTTATATTAGGTGCCTGTATTATTAAAATTATCAATTTTGTTCCATTACTTTTAATAGATTATACCTACAAATAATACATGAAATTGTATCAAAAATCAATTTTAAATAAATTATTTAGCTCTAGTTTAAATTTATTACGATTATTTCAACGTTAAAATGAAATATTTTTAGATTTGTAGATTTCAATATAATGTTATAAATTATTATATCTAGAAGATATTATTGTATTTATTGTTGGTACCTATCAAGCACTTCATATCTTAGATTTTTTAAATTTCCAAAAAATATTTTCTATAGTTATAGAAAAAAATTTCTTGGATTTCCATTTTCTTGATCTACAAATTGTAATCCATTCAAAAACTGTGTACCTAGAATGACATAAGATTCATCTTTCACACATACCTAATATTTATAATGTACTTATATCATTGTGTACGCAATATATATTATATAATACTTAATATTATTATGTCTGACATTTTTCTGTTATAAAATTATAGCTTTGGTTATTATCATTCAATAGTAATAGTCATATTTTCTATTAACTCTGAGAAATTATATAGTATAATAACATATAATACAAAACTACTTGAATAGATGATGAAATGCAATATAGCTATATATATATATTATATTAGTAAATAGAATTGTTATTTATTATATATATGACGTTTCTCACATAAACTTAAAACGTAAAAGTCATTCGGTAATTTCACTGTTCAGTATATATTTTTCACTAGTCTAGTCTACACTTCTCGTACGAATTTTATGAACGTATATATATTATAACACGTGAAATATATTTCTTGGTATTATTTCCTTTGGATTCAAAATAATTTACCGTTTGCTGCATTATTCACGTAATACGATTTTAATTTGACACTTATAACAGTAATAAGTTTTCTCACAGTAAACATTTTTGAAAAAGCACTGTATATGATATTACGGTTTCGACCGTAACCTTATGGTTACTATATATACCTGCATTAAATTATACATATAATCGATTTAACACACCAACATAAGTTTCGTGTGGTGCCTATAGTTTTGTGAGATGAACCCCGCGATGGCACTCATCAGCCGGGTATTTTTAATCAATTCGTGTACAGGAAATAATGTCGACTTTGGGGGTTGGGGGGGGGGGGTGTGAAGGGTCAAAAACTCGAAACGTTCCGGCCCGTGCGAGTTCGGAGATCTGACGGGAAACGCTAACGACTGTGAACTCTAATGATAATGACATTTTCGGTCCCATCATATTATAGGCCCTCGATCCACGCTAATGGTGTTACAGAAGAGCCACATGTTATGAAATGTCCAAAACCCTTAGAAACGCCGCCGCCGCGTACTCGTAAAGCCATTATTATGATTATTATTATTGTTATTACGGTTGTGTTTATAGTAAATTATTATTGTTGGTAGTAGCGTTTATTTAGAAAAAAGACAGATGTATACGCGAGTACACACATAATATATATATATGTGTATTTTGTTCGTATAAACTCACATACATAAGTACTAGAGTGTGTGTATATATATGTAATGCGGACGCGCAATTACAATGTCATTAGCATTTGGCCACTGTTCATCATGATTTATACAACGAATTGTACAACAGAACTGGCGTAACCCTAAAAACATCGGGTTTAACGCGCCCGGAGGTCTTTAAATACTACAAAACGAGTTTCCGGGACGAATTCTGTGGACTTTTTTAATTCACAAACTGTTTAAGTCGTATATTGTTCTAAAATTGAGTAACGAGTACAACTAATTTTTCTTATACCCTGAAGAATTTTGATTATATTTATATTATAGCGTTTAATATTTATACCTATTCTCAAAACATGCGAACGTTTACCACATTTATCGATTAAAAATATCATATGCGAATAATATTATATAATTATACACCTACTTTTACATAATTTATCTCATTGTTTTCCCGTCTTCCCGTGATAGTTCACTGCAGAAGTTAACCGTCTCGATTCCTTTTATTTCATTAATATTCAACCTCCTCTGATATAGAATTTTATTATTTTCCGTTTACTACACGTAACGTATCGAAACATTTTGTAATGATACAATTAGTGAATTTAAAATATTTACTCTTTCGGTTTCTGATGAGACTGTTGGCACTGAGCATATAAAATAAACTTCGACTATAATTTAAGCACCCTACATCGGACTGATGAAACGACTGGAGTTCTGAACTTGCACCGTATGCGGTTGCAGATCGCTATCATCGGCATATGGAATGGAATATGACGTGCGGGTGGGATCGGTTTCGGACGAATCATCGGCATTTACATAAACAGACCGAAGGCGACCTTTCGAGAGTTTACCGTCAACGGCGTCGTCGGTTGCGGTGGCAGTTGCAAAAGTCACTAGCGATAAACGCAATATAAGTAACTCCATTATAACCCGCGGAGGAGCGTTACGACGACGGTGCAGAGTTGCAGTGCGCCGTGGCGGGTACAAGCCACGCACAAAACTCCCATACACTGCACCGGTGCGGGGGCCAAGACGAAATTATGCAAATACAGTTTGTGTCTCGATAGTTTTGCGACACGCGAACCGAGAACAACAGTGACACATCACAACTTGTGGTGCGGGGGTGTTTTGGTATAGGAATTGTTAGGAAAAGTTTATGCCGAACCGACGACTATTATACGCGAGTGTGCTCGACTTTCCACACGGGCCCCAGAGTCACTGCTCACCCACCCACCCAACAGACGGTGGTGAAAGGAGTGGTGTGGGTGCGGAGAAATCGCCGCGGGACTGATGCGGTCGTCGTCGGCCGTGTTCGACAACAAGCCGCGCACGACGATCGCTCTGTGTCGTAATGTGATATTATGCGTTTACTCGGCTTTTTACAAGCTCCTCCGACGCGGATGTGCTCGATATTATGCAAATCTAGTCGCGAGAGCTCAAAGTAACAACATGACGTACGACTGGCGCGTATATATATATAGGTACAAAGTCAAATAGCAGTATAATATAATAATATATTACATCGATGGCGATTCACCGACCGCCTATTTTTTTTTATCCTTTGAAGATAATCTGCATTTATTCAAATTACGATTACTGGAATTTTTTAGTCTATTCACATTTTCAGGTATTAAGATTTTTTAGTACTGTTGGGATACAAATATTTTTTTTATATGAGAACTGACCTTTTCTCTCTTCCGTGAATTGTTGTTTAGGCGATTTTTATTATAATTACCATGTACATCTATATCGACATTTTAACAAGTATATACCTACCAAGTTTCCAAGTTATTATAATGTACTATATATATATGGGACGAGACTAGGATAAATATTGGAATGATAATTATTCGTCTAATGATTAATAATTAACGATTTTATACATCAAATAACAAAATTATATAGTATGTTTTATTTAATCTAATTAGTACTTATTATACTCTTTACGAATTATAAAATTCCAATATTTTAATTATTTATTTATTCACTGATTGATAATATATACGCACTATTGGGCTCAGTACCTATAGAACACATAATACATATTAACTAGTATTGATGTAGAAGGAACATTCAACATAATGATAAATCAACAAAGTTTTAAATTAATAAATGTATCTGATATTCTCAACATAAATTAAAAAAAGATGATTATCATTTGAAATAAATATAATGTTATCGTATCACCACAAGACATTTTTTTTTTTTTATTGATCTTAATGCGTAAAGGCGGGTTTCTACTATACACGTACATGTGTACGTGCATACAAATCCTTTGCTGCGATTGGTTGGTTAGGTTAAGTTACCACACGATTAACCATGATACCGTGTTGTTGGACATAACTGAACATTTTTCGTGTACACGGCAAACGTGTATAGTGGAAACCCGCCTTAAGCATCGGCAACTATGGCTATTATTATTTATAGTGGGGTTAAGGTTGGTTGAGGAACACGTGTTTCATGTGGGGAGAGGATTCTTCACAAAAAACCCGGACTGTCACCTATCTGGGAACTACCGAAGAACACGTTATAGTGACTGAGGCCAACCACTGAGCCACTCCAGGCACCAGGGAATTCTTTAAATGGCATGCAAAATATAAGTATTTAAAAATATAGACTTTAAGTAAACTAAAAATTTAAAAAATCAAAATATGGATAAATTCATAATTTAAGAAAAATAGGGATCGAAACCGGTTTAACTGGTTTTCTGAAAAACCAGTTAAAACCGCGGTTCTTGCATATTTCAACACAGTAACCGGAACCGAAACCAAAAGCTTTAAAACACCGGTTAATAAACCGTAACTGAAACCTAAAATCTTAAAAAACCGTTTACAAAACCTAAACCTAAACCATATAATATTGAAAAACCGTTCTTAAAACCGATTGAAATTTAAAACTTATATCGGTTTTTTCGGACTTTATGAAGTTAATTACCTACCTATATTATTTGTAATTCCAGTTCAAATTTTAGGGATTTCAGCTCTAAATAGTAAATAGATAGTAGAAATTGGGTCTACAGTTATTCAGTAAAAGAAAAAAAATATATCAAAAACCGTTCTTGATGCCTACCGATAAATCTGAAAAACCTTTTTTGAAACCAAAACCAAAACCAAAAAATTTGGAAAACCTTTCTTGGAACCTAAACCAAAACCATAAAATATAGAAAACCGTTCTCAAACAAGAAACCGTAATCGTTTAAATTTGAAACGGTTTCGACCCCTGAATTTAGAAAACATATTATAGTTGTAGAGCAAAGCTCGTGAATCATCATGTTATATCGGCGCTGCAGCTATTTCCTCCGATTTTCGCACGCACAGACGTCCGAACGTGAAATAAAATGTATTATTGTAATATGCGTTGGCGAAAATAAATATAATTGTAATTAAAAGGTTGTTGAGTTTACTACAGCACGATTACCCATGTTGAGACGTTTGGGACCGAATAATATTCTGTAGTTTCGTTTTATAACAATTTTTACTCGCCGCCTTCGATTAGAATTCAACGACCATTCGTGTTCCTAAACACAATAATTTACGTCAGTAGTCGCAGTACCTAACTAGCTCTCATGCCTCATTACAATAACTATTCAGTCTTAGACTCGTATAATATAATATAATATAATACGAGCTCTCAACATTTGCAGTAGGTCTCCAATATTTGATTTTATTGTTGTAAAAAAATAAAAAATGCTATTCTCTGATCGTCCATCGGCGTGGCCTGTCTGTACATACACAAAAGCGCAGACTTCGTGAAGTAAACATTTTATGTACTATGCGATTTGCTTTGCTCCATTGCTCATGACGTGCCAAGACGCCAAATGGAAAGTAATTCGTTCATATATCCAATACTTTGACTAATCACTAATTAACATCAAAATATATCTGTATTGTAGGTAATATTATTGTTTCACGGCAGTAAGTTATGCTAATAATTATAGTACTTGTAAGTTGTATCTGTACTGCTATGAAACTCAACTATAATTAAACACGCATACACCGTGCCAAATAAATATCGTTGAGTTTGAAAAGCGACACTAAATCGCACATTAATATCTCGCTTTGGATGCATGATGTGTATACGAGTTTGATAATCGGATTATGTCAAGTAGGTATATTTAGATTCTCGTTGAATAATTCTTAAGATTTTCATATGTAATATGCGTGTTCATTTGAGACGATAACGCAATACAATAATAATTTTTAATAATTATTGCCATTTGTTTTGAATTGCAAAAGTATAAATCTATTTTTATTTTCTCAAATAATCTTGATAGCCAATAAACTGATGATTAAAATATAATACTACGTAGATATCAAAAAATAATTACTAAGATAATGTCAACAAAAAAAAAGTTATTCAATATAATATTATTATGCGGTTGAAATTCCCCAAAGCCATCCCAACGTTTAAGAAAACGTCTTGGAAATTGATTTTTAGAATTTGCAAATCATATTTTATCTATCGTTAGGATAAACCTGACAGGGGTAGAAGAGTCGAATTATAATAACAATTATACCATACCATCATAGTGTCATGTGCATTGGTGATGGAGCTATGCAAAACGCGTGTCCAACTAAGCCACTGAATCATAATATCCCCACGTTCATGAATTGTCACAGTTTTAACGTTATTTTAATCTACCTATAAAGATATAAGTTAATATATAAAATATCGTATTTAACTTAAATATTATACTTCGAGAGACTTGTATCTGAGTATACTTCAGATGTGTACTGCCCATTTAGCTATATGCATTCAACCATGTGTTTATTCAATCCAGGCACTTGGTTGGAACAATCACGTTTCTGTCTAAATTATGACGCAATACTTAAACATTACATTTACACTATGATATCACGTATACATACTTTAATGTGTAAATAGCATACTCGAGATACGAAATTGATTAATTGTTACTTAATCGTACTATATTATGTTCTGTGTCACATAAACTATACCTACCACATATCATTATTAATATCGAGTTCCGTTTTTTTTTTTAATTGCATAAAAGATCTGTGAATCCTTTTAAAATTGAACGGATTTACGACTAACCATAATAACTTAATGCAATTGTCTGTCTTAAGTACTAGTAACATCTCGCTTCCACAAAATTATATAGAATAAAATTATTAATCACGAATATTGTTACGGAACAAACACCCACCAAGTAAAAACGATTGAAAAAAGGACACGATATGACGAGTGAAAATCACACATGATAGATAGGAATGTCCGTTCAACGGTGTGATTTTCACTCGTCTAAAACATATTACGCGGACCAATCAACGATGGACTAGATTGTCGAAAAGGGTATAAATACCGGACACTCTCGACAATCTAGTCAGCATCCCATCCCCTCCCCACCATCCCACACCACCTGAAATGACCAGGAACAACAAGCGTAGGAAGGTCGGAGACCCCCCGACCAAACCACCTCCGAAAATACCAAAACTACGTTCGGCTCCCCCTTCCCCAATACAATCTAACTCCAGTGCTTCCGACTCTGAAACCCTAGACTCTTTCTCCGACTCTAGCACCTCAACCCACCACTCCCTATCATCACTTACTTCCGTACACTCAGTAAACACCTCACTCTCAGCCACTCAAATTCCGTCCAAAACTCCTTCAGTCTCCAGACCTCCACCTATCATACTGAGTTCCGCTTCCTGGCGGAAGGCCGCGCCCACCATCTATTCAATCCAAAACTTGCAACCGAGCTCTCTATCAGCAAAATCCTCCGGCGACCGGGTAACCCTACGAGCAGCCGATACTACCCAATTCCGCCTGATCCAAAAGACTCTGTTACACCTGGGAACCGAATTCCACACTTTTTCCCTCCCCGAGGAACGTTCTGTAAAAGTCGTTCTAAAGGGCATTCCGACTGATATATCAACTGACGAACTAAAAGACGAGTTAGTTAC